CATTGTGATATTTCATGAAACCTTATAGGATAATGAAATCAGGCTAATTTGACATCGTAATCCCCTCAAATATTTCTTTGTGGTGAGATTTAAAATCCTCTCAGTATTTTGAAATATGTAATACATTATTTACTATAGTACCATTTATTTTGTGGTATATTAATATTTAATCAGTAGCAGCATTTATGAATAAGTCAACAAATTATAAAAATAAAAAACTATTTCTGAGAAAAAAATAATACTGAATTGTAGTACATTGTACTGTTAAGTTGTTGCTAAGGAACTGAGTTCAGCTTGTAGAATGTCCTATAATCCTAAGTATTTTTGTGTTTTGACTAAACCAGTAAGTATAGAGTTAATTAAAATTAGCAGAGATTGTTAGCAGAAATTTATTTATTATCTTTTCATTTTATGTATTTGGTATAGGGTCTCACCACGCAGCCTGAACTCATAATGATCCTCCTGTTCTCAGCATCCCTGGTGCTGGGATTACAGGCATGTGCCACCACATCTGGACTCCGTGGCTGGCTCAGCGTACCCTAGGTGCTGGGCCGGGATCAAACCACCGGTCCCTGCACTTGCAAAGCAGGTGCTTGGTCGCTAAGCTATCTCGCTGGCCTAGTAGAAGTTTAAACTAACACATTTTTAGCTAAAAACAATTTAATCTGTAATTTTATTTATTTATTTAGTTAGTTAGGTTTTTTTTGCGGAACTGGGGATTGAACCCAGGCCCTTGTGCTTGCCAGGGAAGCGCTTATTCCACTGAGCCATCTCCCCGGCCCCCCTTATTATTTATTTTTTTTTATCTTTTGGTCTTTGAGACAAGGTTTCACAAGGCAGTTCAGGCTGTTGTTGAATTCACTTTATAGCCTATGCTGGTCTTGAACTCACAATAATCCTCTTGCTTCAGTCCCCTGAGAGCTGGGATTACAGGCACATTACAGGTGTGCTACACCAGCCTTTAGTCTATAGTATTTGAAAAGTACAAGATACTACATGTATAGGCTAGGGATATGGCTCAGCGGCACAGTGCCTGCCTAGTAATTGTGAAGTTGTGAGTTTGATTACTGGCAAAAAGAAAAAAAATCCTGTGAGCACAATATTGTATATTATTTGTGCAAGAAACATGAAACACTGTGAGTAAATGGGAGACCTGTGATCCCCTACCTCAACTTACTGAAAAACTAAAAGATACTAGACTCTTTTATCAGTCTATCTTGAGCATCTGGCTTGTTATGAAAGTTTTAGTATATACCACAAATAGAAAGCGTACTGAAACCTTTTAGAAGCCAAGCTTCGACATTTATCAGAATTTTTCAGGGCCGGGGAGATGGCTCAGTAGAATAAGCGCTTCCCTGGCAAGCGCAAGGGCCTGAGTTCAATCCCTAGTTCTACAAAAAAAAAAAAAAAAAAAAAAAAAAAGTGGGCTGGGGAGATAGCTTAGCAGTCTAAGTGCCTGCCTGGCAAGTGCAAGGACCTGGGTTTGATCCCTGGTACCAAATGCCCTGCCAGCCCTGTGCTGTACCAGCTACAGAAACTGGGCATGGTAGCACACCCCTGTAATCCCAACACTGGGGAGACTGAGACTGAGGTGTATAGTGAGACCTCATACCGAATCAGTCAGTCAATCAGTCACTCACTCACTCATTCTTCTTTTTTTAGAAAAGAATTTTTCCAGTTGTGTTTCATTCATTCTCTTCCTCGTTTCTTTTCCCCAGAAATGATTTTATTTCAGTATCACTCCACTATTCATTTCAACAAGGACTTCAGTATTATTAAATCCAACAATTCATTAATATCATGTAATATTCAATCAGTGTTCTTATTTTCCAGTTATCCCATAGGTGTCATTTGGAGTATGTAATTCTTGATTTGGACACCTTTGTACTTCATTTAACTCTTAGTTGCCTTGGCCTTTCCTTATTAGAGGAGAAAAAAAGACTAGGTCTGTCTGCATCTGTGTCTGCATCTGCCTCTCTCTTTCTCTCTGTCTCTGTCTCTCTCTCTGTCTCTGTCTGTCTCTCTCTCTCTCTCTCTCTCTCTCTCTCTCTCTCTCTCTCTCTCTTTCATATTGAACATAAGGCCTTTGCACTGAGGTATATCCTCAACCTTTTTTAAAATTTTGAGACAGGACCTTGCTAAATCGCTACGTTGCCCAGGCTGGGCTGAAACTTGGGCTTTTCTTGCCTCAGTCTCTCAAGAGCACTGGGGTTGCAGGCCTGCATCGACATGCCTGGCCAGCATTGTTCATATTCTTATCTTGGCTTTTGCATTGTCCATGGATGTTTGTTCAACTTCGAAATAGGTAGATCTTGAGGTTTGGTCAGGTCAGGGTAGACATTGAGAAGAAATTGTTAACGTTGTGGGCTTCCTCCCTCATCACTTTGTTCGCACATAACATAAGGGGAAAAGCATAGTGTCAGGACACCATAGAGCTGCGGTCTGCTGTGTGTGGGTGAGCAGCACTGACAGAGTCAGCACGTGGACTTGAGCAGATGACACGGGCATAGCAGAGGGGCTTCGGATCGTACGTTGTTTCAGTTTGAATAGTCTGCAATAATCCATCAATGATGCAGTGAGAAGGTTATTACTGTAGCATGTTAGGTGACATAGGAATTATTGTTTGAGCTCTGATAATAATGTGGACATATTTTTAAAAGCCTGTAGTTCAGTGGTCCATGTGAAAGTTTTGACACAACATAATGTCTGTAGTGTTTAGTGATAACACATGTATAAACAAGATTGGTTGTAGGTTGATAATTGTGAATCGAGTGATGGCTTGTGGAGTTCTTTGCACTTTTTCACTCATTTGTGTATATTTAAATATTTTACTTTATTTTAAAAATTATGGGGGCTGGAGAGATGGCTCAGTGGTCTAAAGCACCTACTTGGAACAAGCTTGGCAAAGCACAGGGACCGCGGTTCAATCCTCCAGCACCACATGCCGGCCGCGCCCCCTGGTGGGCTGAGCTGGACACACACACACACACACACACACACACACACACACACACACAATAAATGAATGTTAAAATAAAAAAAAATTTTAAAAAAATAAAAATTATGAAGCCTGTGTGACTACCTGACATTTTTTCTTTTTGAAGCAGTACATCTTGATTTGAGAAAACTCTGAAAGAGGATGGCTTGCCATTTAGAAAGGCTTTTTTTTTTTTTTTTTTTTTGGTGGAACCAGGGATTGAACTCAGGCCCTGCACTTGCCAGGCAAGCACTTACTCTACTAAGCCATCTCCCAGGCCCCTAGAAAGGCTTTTGTCCTGCTTAGCTTTAGTAAGAAAATTAGTGCAAGTCCAAACCGCAAGTGGAAGCATTTGATAAGTTAATAGCTTGTTTTGAAGGCAGCCTTCACTTGGTTGTGCTCAGCTTGCTTTGATCCCTCAGCCGACACTCCCAGGACTTAAGGAGGCTGACTTGCTGCATGTTCTGCACCCCAGACGTCCTGCCTCTGCGGCACAGCATCACATGTGCTGAGTCTAACGTGCTGTTCGTTATTGCTTGTCTAGTACCACAGGTACATTGAAATCGCCATAAAGCAGTGCAGGAGCTCTGGCATCGACTGTAAGATCCATGGGCTCATTCTCCTGGGCCGCATCCGTGCGGAGGAAGAGGGCTTGGCTGCAGTTCCTTTCTTGGCTTCAGATGACGAAGAAGAAGAAGATGACAGAGGCAGCAGCGGGAGGTGAGAGCCAGGTGTGCCTGGGGCTCCTTTGCTTCACTTCAGTCCAGAATCTTCTTTCAAGTACATGTTACAGAGAGTATGTTATGTGGAGAGTAGGCTTACGCCCATAAGATGGTTTAGTTTACACACACACACACACAAAATTCAACTTGCATTTTTAATAAAATATTTAAATGTATTACATTTCAAAAAATATTGTTAAAGTGAAAATGCTTTCCTTCTGTGCCTGAAATATCACTATATTTAGGTTATAAACTCCTTGTAGCCCTCCCATTCTAAATTATTTTCCTATGGAAGTTTTTTTATTTTTAATGTGTTTGGTACAGGGTCTCACTACACAGCTCGAACTCATTGTGAGCCTCCTGTTTTTAGCCTTCCCAGCACTGGGATTACAGGTGTGTGCCACCACACCCAGATTCTTCCTATGGAAGTTGAATGGTTTATATTATCATTTTTTTTGATGAGAATTTATCATTACTTTTTAATAAAAAAATGTATTTGTTTTTATTATGGTAAAATGTACATAATATATAATTTATCGTTTTAACTTTTCCCTTTCTTTTGTACTGGCTATTGAAACCAGGGCCTTCACACTGAGCAACATCTCCAGTCCTTTTTTAGTTGTCATTTTGAGTTTTGCCAGGTTGTTCAAGTTGGGATTGAACTTTTGATCCTCCCACAGTGCTGAGATTGTAGGTGTGTGTGGCTTTTTTTTTTTAATCTTTAGGTCTTGCTACGTAGTTCGGACTCATAGTGATCCTCCTGTCTCAGGCTCCCTAGTGCCGGCATTACAGGCGTGCACCACCACGCCTGGTTTCAGTGGCCAGCACTGTGTGCCTGGAGTTCTGGGGCTGGCATGTCATGCAGTTCCGGGATTGATCCCAGGTCCTTGTGCTTGCCAGGCAGGCACTTGACCTATCTCATCCACTCTGAAAGCTTTAAATGGAGTTCAGTGTCATTCAGTACATGTGCCTTCTTGTGCAGCTATCGCTGTCAGCTGCATCTCGAGTGTCGTGTGTATGTTTGTGCTGCAGTATTTCATTTTATGACTCTTGTCATTTACTTAGGCTCTCCCTTTATACGAGTGGTATGATGGTGACTGTTACTGCTCAGCATGCATCCACATGTGTCTACTGTTGACCAGTCTTGGGGTGAATGTGTAGAACAAAGTCAGACAAACATGAATGAGTGTGTTACGGCGTTGTTGGCTAGGAGGCGCGGTGCATGTGCCTTGAGCACCTACCTCAGAGCACTGTACCTCTGCGCTGCAGGAGGAGTCGGTGTTCCCGGGAAGAATAAGCAGACAAGGGTGCTTCTGCTTCAGGCAGCCACCGTATGCCAGAGGCTTAACAGTATCTGTCCTGGTGTGCTTGTCCAAGACATGTGCTCCAGGTCCTGCTTCTGTTACAGCAACAAGTAGTGTAGATGACCACTGTCTTTACAAGTTGTATCTTCCTGGATTAATTGCTGTAAGTGAAAATGCCAAGTCAAAGGGTATGCAAAATAAGTGTATGTCTTGGGCCTGGGATGTATGTCTGTGGTAGAATGCTTGACGAGGATGTAGTGCCCTGCGTTTGATCCCTAGCACTTCAGAGATGAAGTCTCAGTTGGCGTATTCTCATCATTCCCCAAGGCACGGTTGGATTGCCAATGTCTTGGCCCTGCAGACAGGCTGGGTACGCGAGGCAGTTGCCAGTGCTAGCTTTATCCTGTTGACCCAAACACCCTTTGCTTAGGTGCTTTCCAGTGTGTGACATAAAGAGACAAAGGCGATTGTCACACTGCTCTTGGGCACATTCCCATGGTCAGGCGTAGGCCGGTGCTGTGCCAAGAAGTACTCCAGGGCCCTCTCCTCTTGGCTTTAGCACCTGTCCTGTTTTATTAAATGTTGAAAAAAGTATCACTGCCTTATCTAAAATATATTAGGCTGTGTGTCAAGCTCATTGCATCTACACATTAATTAAATGAAGAAAACATCAGTTATTTAAGGAAGTCATTGGGTTGTTAAGAGAAAATTTCAGGTTAGCACTTTCTTACGTAGTAGCTATTGACTTGGGCAAGCACAATTAGTGCATGCATGTATATTTAAACAGCTGTAAAGTTTTGGGCTTTACTAATTGTTCAGATTTTTATGTGGTTAAATGCATTATCAAAAGAAAACTTTGATTTTTTTTAGGCTTTTTTTTCTCATAATTTTATTGAGAAACAAATAGCAATGAGACAGTTTCAAACCAAATTGGTAGGATAGTTTCAATAATTAACACATTGCATATGTTCTTCCTAGTGGTTAATTGCTGTACAAGATGCAGATTTGATATCCTATTTACAAACACCATTAGAGCAAATCCCTCTATTCATTAAGAGAATGTAACTATATATCTATCCTAACCACTTTGAACACACAGATACAAAATGGACATTCATCTGTATCCCCTTTTTTGTTTAGTTGCATCATTTAAATATTATAGGTGTGTAAACTCAGCAAAATATTCTAAAAGGGTCCAGTAGCCCATAATAGTATTGGGTCTTCCGCTTGACTGGCACTGTCAGAAATTGATGACCTGAGTCCCCTACAGCTCAACATAACAGCATGGCTTTACTTCTTATACTTCGTTTTTATACTTTTCTGCTGGATGGTTAAGACCAAGGTAAAGCAGGACCTATGAAAACTTCGATATTTGAAAGTAAGTTTTTCTATAGATAACTTCAGGATGAATTGTTGGTCTTCCATCTTAGCTTACAAAAATAGACCAAAAGATTTTTACTAAAAAGCCAAAAATGTCACATATAAAAGAGGCAGTTCCTTAGACTTGGTTATCAAAATACCAATCAAAAAACGCCTAGCACTATCAATGTATTTTTGTGGCTTCAAGTTCAGGAGTTGGAGTGTTTTGCCTGCTGTTGTTTAGCTTCCCTAAAATGACAGGTTGGGGGCTGACATGAACGAAGCGGGAGGAACAAGTCTTCTGGATAAGAAAGGCAGTGAGGACCTACATCTAGCTAACGAGCAGTCAGGCCTTCTGGCCCGTGTCGTGGAGGGGCCAATGGAAGAGCATAGTAGCATTTGGCTTGAACACATTTATCTGTGTTAAATACCCCCAGGATATACAGATACATCTGTTTTATTCTTTCTTTGAGGACCAGAATGACCAAGCATGTGCCCAGGTTTAGGGACATTGTCCCAAAGTTAGTCCCAGGAGCAGCTCAGGTTCTGTTTGGAATATCTGTGCATTTCGGTGGCAGGTGTTGTTGCCCTGTTCAACTTGGTATTTGAGATGGAAAAAGATGTGCACTGTACCCAATAAAGATCTCTGCCAAAAATGAAAGGTTGGGAAGCATACAGCTGCCTGAAAATTTTGACTTTGGAGCCCTTACTCCTGTACAAATTTGAGATTTCATTTCATTATGACAAATCTGAAAGTAAATAATGAAGATTTTGAGTGGTTGAGTTTGCTTCCCTTTTTTGTTGTAAATGTTTTATGCTGAATGACCTCTGTTTCTTTGTTTTTCCTTTTGGTTAGCCTTATTAGGAAGAAGGCTGCAGGGTTGGAATCAGCAGCTACAATAAGAACGAAGGTGTTTGTATGGGGACTGAATGACAAGGACCAACTGGGCGGGCTCAAAGGCTCCAAGGTATCTCCCCTCTGGGCTCAGCTTTCACATCACCGGCCACCTGGCCTCTGTCCACAGGAGCCTCCAAGACAGCCTGTTTCTAATAAATAGTGTTATCTTCCATATGTGTTTTTTAAAATTAGCTTTTGGAAAATAATTCTTAACCTAGTAGATGTGATCAAATTTAGTTTCTGAGAAGTCTCTATCCTTGGCTAATTGCACTTTTAATTCTATAAGCTAGACTTTTAAAAAGAAATGCTTTGGTGAAAATTATGCACTATACCTGGATTCATCTGGCCTTCAGTACATTTTGCTTACCAAATCAACGTTTGTTGATAAATATTTTTCTTACCAAGAACAAAAGGCTGTGTTAAAACTACCATAGAAGGGGGCCGGAGAGATGGCTCAATGGAATAAGTGCTTCCCTGGCAAGCACAAGGGCCTGAGTTCAATTCCCGGTTCCACCAAAAGAAAAAAAAAGGAGAAAAAAAAAAAAACTACCATAGAAGCAGATGGGCAAGACAGGATGCTTGCCCTCTGTGCCTGTGGTGCCTGGGCATGGAGAGTGACATAGCGTCTGTAAAGAGATCACAGAAACCAACCAAAGCTGTGTACACGTGCAATACACACTTGTCATCTTTGTGGAGCTGCTTGTGGCTGGACACTTCCATATTCTTGTTCAGGGTCTTGCTGTGAAATCCAGGTTGGCCATGAACTTACTTCTGCATTCTAATTGGAGTTGAATTCATCATACCCTTCATCACTCAGTGTGTCTTGTCTAAGTAGCCTCAAAGCAAATTTGTTCAAATTTCAGTACCTGGGGACCGGGAGATAGCTCAGTGGAATAAGTGCTTGTCTGGCAAGTGCAAGGTCCTGAGTTCAATCCCTGGTTCCGCAAAAAAAAAAAAAATTTAGTACCTAGAAACAGTTTCTCATTTTAACAGACCAAATATGCTTCCTTTTTGTGGGCTGCGAGACATCATCCATCACAAGTTCCTTTTTACTTGCATTATTGAGAAACTAAGATGATTAGAACTTATTTATTTGCGCTGTTGACCCATCGAGATCCAGCTAATTTTTATCTTCACTTGGACAGCCTGACACAACATTTGCGTGCTAAGGTCCCTCACCTCCAGCTTGGGTTGCGCGGCTGCATTAGGCTGTGCGTGTCTTAGCTGCTTCCTGGCAGAGCGGTCCCGCAGGGAGTGGTCCCTGCGCTGCGGTGTTGTTGGGAGCTGGGACCCCGCCTGTCTTGCATGGAGCTGTCAGACGCAGAACACAGAGGCCACAGTTGTGATGATCAGCCTTTCTTCTACTGCAGAAACGACTGTCATAGTTCATGAACCTGTCTGAAAGGACTCTTCAACGAAGGGCTCTAGGGATTTAAAATATAATCATACCCACTTACAATGGAAAATATAAGCATATGATTTCTCAGAGGTGTCAGAATCAAAGAGAATGAGCAGGACTTGACCTGCTCATTTTTTTTTTATTTTTACATGTTTTTTTCACCTTTTATTGTGGAAATGTAATCAGAAAGATTAGGGTTGTGAGCTCGCATGTCCCTGGTACTAGCTTAACAGCTGGCTATGTTGTTGTCTTTATTTTCCACTTGGTCCACAAATCTAGTTTATTTTAAAATAAATTTCAGTATACCTTTTCATTCTTAACTTACTTTGGTGTTAAAAAAAACTGTGGCTAATGTAACCATACAAATTGACAGTGATTCCTTGTAGCATATGTTATTTAGAATTTTTAAAGTACAAATAAAATTCTTTTTCTTTCTGCAAAATGTCCTTCTAGATAAAAGTCCCTTCCTTCTCTGAGACTCTGTCTGCATTGAATGTTGTACAGGTGGCTGGTGGTTCTAAAAGTTTGTTTGCAGGTATGATTATCCAAATACTAGAAAAATTTAAAAATGATGCTTAGTGCATATAAAAATAGCTTTTGCCTTATGGAAGATTGAGCTTTCTCCATCTGTGCTTCTTTGTAGTGACTGTGGAAGGGAAGGTGTATGCCTGTGGAGAAGCCACCAACGGCCGGCTGGGGCTGGGCTTATCAAGTGGGACAGTTCCCATTCCACGGCAGATCACAGCCCTCAGCAGTTACGTGGTCAAAAAGGTGGCTGTTCATTCAGGTAAAGGGCTATCACCATCGCTTGTGTGTGGAGTAAATTTGTCACTTTCAGAGTGCAGTAGCTAAGGCCTGTAAATAATTTTCCCTAAGGTGTCCTTGCATTTGTTTTCAGCTTTTATCTTAATAGGAAGAAAAATTGGATAATGTAAATCCCTGGTAGTCTGGAATGTAATGAGTGCTACAAAATTAGGTTTTTGGAAAATGAGCATTGATAGTATTTCAGTCATGTGAGCGTATCCCTCTAAGGATGGGGTGTTCAGTCTTGGAGCTGTGGTCTTGGACCCATCGTATCCATAAAATGATTAAGTTCTATGCTTAGATATGTTCATTTTTATGGAGAAAGAGCGTGACTTTTGTCAGATTCCCGAAAGGATCTGTGAACCTCAGTGATAAGAAAGACCACTAAAAAGACAACCACTCTTCTCCTCAGGCAGTACTATTAAATGTTATTTTGAAGCGCAGCATTTGGTCTCTGAGGAGTGGCACTGAAGTAGATACATAGCTCAGTTTATGCTTGCACCAGAAGAGGTTAGTTACAGTCCCATCTAACAAGGAGTCCAAGTGATGGTGCCTTCAGCGAGATAGATGTTGGTGTTTCTTCTCTGGGAAAGTCTGTGGGTAGGGTCTGAGCCTGTCCATGTGTCCTCCCTTCCCAGTGCTGTGGGAAGAAGGCCTGCTATGAACCCTCTAGTTCAGGCCAGGTGGGGACAGTGGCTTGTCCTCCAGTCCTTGCAGCCTTCTCCCGAGTGTGCTGTGGGCAAGGAAAGCGAAAGAGTACTTGTTAGCTGAGCACTTTGTTGCCCCTTAATGCCGTGGGTTTTGTTACAAAGAAGTGGGAAGGGTAGATGTTGGGTTCTAGGGGCCCTGCTGCGATCCTTCCTCAAGCCCTAGGAGCTGGTGCTAGTTTTCAAAAAATCCTAATTTTTTAGCACTAATTAAATTCTGATCCTGCTGGTGACTCTGAGGGGTCAGGTCTGTGGACCGGGAGAGCACTGTGTCCTGGAGAAAGAGCTGCTGTACTTCAGGAAGAGAATGTATACTCTCTTGCTTGCAAATGGTGGTACTTCTCACATAATTCCACTACTGGGTATATTACTCAGCATCTTAAATTGCCGCCATATTTGACAGTTTCTCCAGTCACAGATGTACTTATTTTTGCTTTATTCAGTTAAATTTTTATTTTTGATATGTTTAGGAGAAGAGGAACACTTTTTTTTGTTGTTGTGTTTAGTTTTTTCTTTGATACTGGGAATTGAACTCAGGACCTTGTGCTTGCTAAGCAAGAGCTATGCTACTGAGCTATGTTCCTAGCCCAAGAGAAACACTGTTGATAGTCAGCATTACTTAGTCTCATCCCTGCAAATAAAATTAGAATTTATTGATTGATTGATTGTCTTTTTTACACAAGATCTCACTGTATTGTTCAGGCTGGCTTTGAACTTGAAGTGGTCCTCCTGCCTCAGCATCCTGAGTGCTGGAATTACAAGCATGAACCACCATGCCTGGCCTATAAAATTAGTTTTAGAGTTGAAAGTTACATAGTTTATTAAAAGTTCATCTATTTTGCATGTCAGTAGAAAGCTTTCATAATAACTGAAATGTTAATCCTGTTTACTCCATGCATTCAAAACGTGATCATTGAGTACCTGCTACATGCCAAGCACAGAGTGGTGGCGGTATGAACTGTCTGTACTGTGTGAATGTTACAGGTGGCCGGCATGCTACGGCTCTAACCGTTGATGGCAAAGTATTTTCTTGGGGTGAAGGTGATGACGGAAAACTCGGACACTTCAGCAGAATGTAAGAATATTTTTACTTGTTAATAAACTGTTGCTAATGGCAACCTAGGGCCTTTTAATATTATTTTGCAGAAACTTAAAACAGGGTAGGCTATTTATGGAAGTGGAGCTTTAATTTTTTTTTTTTAACGTGAATCTGTTCTGTGATAGAAGAATATGTCATTTAGCATTGCATACTCTTTTTTTTTTTTTTTTTTAAGGTTTGATAGGCTTGTAGATCTTGTGTAGATGTGTTTTTGCTTTCTGTGACGAAGGATGGAGGGTAGTTTCATCTTATTGCAGGAACTGTGACAAGCCCAGGCTGATAGAAGCACTGAAAACCAAGCGCATCCGGGACATTGCCTGTGGGAGCTCTCATAGTGCAGCCCTCACCTCCAGTGGAGAACTGTATACCTGGGGCCTCGGGGAGTATGGCCGTTTGGGACATGGTGATAATACCACACAGCTGAAGCCCAAGATGGTGATTATACGCATTTTGTTGTTTATAGAAAGCGTGTTATCCGATGATTTCAAGTGAAGATGAGCCTTGAGTCTAGAGATGTTCATAAGGACGTGTATCTTACTAGCTTTGTGTATGTGAGAAAATTTCCTTGATCTCAGTGATTGTGCTTGACTCTGGCTTTAACTTTGTAATTGAGTAGGTGAAAGTCCTTCTTGGTCACAGAGTAGTCCAGGTTGCCTGTGGAAGCAGAGATGCACAGACGCTGGCACTGACAGATGAAGGTGAGCTGCTCGTGTGAACCTCTCGTGAACCTCTGCGGGGGTGGGAGGTCGTGATGCCCAGGCCTGAAGTTCTTATCTTTTTAAACCTAGGTTTGGTGTTTTCCTGGGGTGATGGTGATTTTGGAAAATTGGGCCGGGGAGGAAGTGAAGGCTGTAACATTCCCCAAAACATCGAGAGACTAAACGGTCAGGGAGTATGCCAGATTGAGTGTGGTGCTCAGTTCTCCTTGGCTCTCACTAAGTCAGGAGTGGTGTGGACATGGTACGTGACCTCATTCCTTGTCTCCTCTGCTTCTGCTTGCACGAGCCCTGTAGCAGTCTTGGCATCAGCCCCTGGCTATCCCAGGGTGCTTGTCAACTGTCATTTTCTTACTCATCCAGACATCCTTGTTTTTTTATTTGAGATGAAATTAGTGAAAATGTTAAATAAGTTATTTTATTAGAGAATAAGTCTTTTATTAGAGAAGCTGTAGTGCACTTGTCTATCTTGTTTGGGTGAGGTTTATGGAGAGGGTTTCTTCTGCTTTCTTATTATGTGAAAAGCCTACTAGCCTAATAAATGATAAAATGAGAGTGAGGTAGACTTCTGAATCCTTTGACCCCGGAAAAAAATAGATGTGTGATTCTTGTGAAAGCTTATTTTATTAAAGTGCCAAACACTGGGTGCCCATACAAACCTTGGCCAATGTCAATATTGTGACCAGAGACAGCTTGAAAAATATATATACCATATAGAACTTTGGAAGGAAGTTTGGACTTGTGCCTTATTTTCCATCTCTTTGTATGAAAGTCTGTCCTGTTAACATAGATGTATGACAAAGCATGTATTACAGTAGGAAGGACTTGCTAGCTAAATCAATGGTGGTTTAGAATGTAAGTTCAGGTGCCTTGCCTGCTGTGTGTGGCGGTATCCCTGAGTTGACTGAAAGCTGTGAGACAGTGAGTGTTTTCTTTTTATGGTATTGCCAGACACAATGTACCATGTAGTAATGTTCATACTGCTGACTTTGCAGGGGAAAGGGGGATTACTTCCGGTTGGGCCATGGCTCTGATGTACATGTGCGGAAACCACAGGTGGTTGAAGGACTGAGAGGGAAGAAGATTGTGCATGTGGCTGTTGGGGCACTGCACTGCCTGGCAGTAACAGACTCGGGGCAGGTAAGGCTCCAGGTGGCCTGGAGGTGAGGTGGCTTTCTAAGGTGATACTCATGACTCAGCTCCTGCCTTGTCGAAGTTATAACCTGTGATCAAGTGAGTCTTAGTACCAGAAGAACCATGAGGGCGGGGCTGGATCCATTTTGTTCACTGAGTGTCTGCCTGCTCACCAGCACGGGTTGGGGCCATAGCCTTGGGAAAGAGTTATTTGCTCCCTGACGTTCGTGTGGGAATGAGAAAATTGTCATTGGTAGTAGCACTTTTGCTAAGCTGTTAGCAATATTTTACTTTTGAGAGTTGATAATGGGGTAGACAATTTTCATGTCAGAAATAGTTGATAAGCATTGCTCGAGTTTTGCTTTGTGAGGTACACACTATGACCAGATCCTGGGTGTCATTTTAGGATTCATTTATGGAAACAAAATTAGCATACTGTGCATGATCAGAAATGAATTATGAGGCGGCGACCTAGCACGGTGGTCTCCGCGCCGGGCTGTGGAGCGCGAGGTCGCCGGTTCGCAGCCCCGTCCCGACTCTTTCTCTTGGGGCCAGGGAGATGGCTCAGTAGGATGGGCGCTTGACTGGCAAACGCAAGGATCTGAGTTCAATCCCCAGTTCCGCAAAAAAAAAAAAAAAAAAAAAAGAAAGAAAGAAAGAAAGAAAGAAATGAATTATGGTTCTAAAGGCAAGAAGCACATTAGTTGAAAGTAAACATGGTGTTTTCTATTTTTCTGTGTAAAAGAAATTACTCCTTTTAGTTGAGGGAGAGGATCCTCTTTGTATTCTGTAACAGAACAAGATGAATGCATTAATTGGATTTTAAGTAGATATTCAGTTATTTCTGGGAAGGATTTTAATGGTTACATACATGCCATTTTATAAGATTATGAAACTTACCATTAAGAGCTCAATTCTTTGAAGTACTATGGAAGATACATTAAGTATTTTCAAGTTAGTTTAAAGAAGATAATGTGAAATGTTGAAAATTGCTTTCTTTGCCCCCCTAAACAGGTGTATGCTTGGGGTGATAATGACCACGGTCAGCAAGGCAATGGCACCACCACAGTTAATAGAAAGCCTACACTTGTGCAAGGCTTAGAAGGCCAGAAGATCACACGGGTGGCTTGTGGGTCATCGCACAGTGTAGCGTGGACAACTGTGGATGTGGCCACGCCCTCTGTCCACGAGCCCGTCCTTTTCCAGACTGCAAGAGACCCCTTAGGTGCTTCCTATTTAGGTAACACAGATTAATATCTTCTCTGACATCCTTTTGCTATTGACAACACGCTACAGATTGGTGTAAAGGTGCAGTTTTTATTACAGTGCCATAGATTGTTAGTGGTGCTGTACAACCAAGGCACAGAAGAGTGGTGTTACATTCTTGTGTGATGGATGCCTGAGTGAAAAGTTTTTAGAAGAAAGCACGATGCTAACTCTTGTCCTGGGCTGCTTTGAGTTTTCTAAGAGCTTTATGTAGCCATCATTGACACACAGTGTCATGCACCCATGAAGCATCACCACAGAGGGTCATGAGCACTGCACCACAGCTGATGTTTGCTTCCACTCTTTGCAACACTAGCCTCCTGCCCTGGGCTCTCCTCCTTCATTCCTGCAACCGTTGACTTCTCTTCTGTCCCCAGTCTGTATAGATGAGAACTATATAAGTGTTGCATGTACCTTGTAGTTGTCACTGAGCCTAATGGAAGTTATTTTTGGGCTGAGCCTGGGTATAAGGGATGCTGTGCTACCTTTGTGTCTGTGAGAAAAATACCTGAGAAAAACAATTTAAAGGAGGAAAGAGTCACTGTCTTGTGGTTTCGATCATGGTTAGCTGACTCCATAGTTTTGGGGCCTGTGGTGAGGCGGCATTGAGGTAGAAGAGTGTGTTGGAACAAAGTTGCTCACCTCATGGTAGCCAGGAGACAGAGAGCAAGGTTTTCTCTTACTGTTGTCTGTGGGCTGTTGATTTTAGGATCCTTAGTCTTTGAGTGGGGACTTTTGCACCAGTGGTGGGGGTGGAGCTTTTGAGCCTTGAACCTCAAACTGGTGTAGCCTGTCATTACTTTAGAGGGGTCAAAATCAGTATACTACAACAGGAAATAGTTTCAAAGATTTTTACTTTCTGATCCTGGGTACTGAAGGTGTCATGAATTGTCTCTTATAGTCTATCCAGGTGACGTGCCCACAGGGCACGTAGACCCCCACCAGGGAGGGCCTTCCTGCTACCCACAGCCAGAACTAGGCCAAGCCAACCAGTGGACTAATTTGGTAACCACACACACAGTCCTAGCATCATAGACTCTAGATTCAGCCACCTTTGAAACCCCAGCCTATGGCCCCGTGAGGCTCTGGGGACATCTAGATATAACCCATAACAGTCACGTATCATTTTTTTTCTGTTTTAAGGACTTTCTTTATGTCTCTCACAGTATACACATGTTAGTGATTCTTTCGTTGAACATTTTAAAGTATGAACTAATACATATTTGGCTTTATTTTGTAGGAGGTCTTCCCTGGGTATAGAATACTAGTTTGGTAGTTTATTTCTTCAAGCACTTTAAAGAAGTCCTATTGTCTTGCTTTGTTTTTATTGCTACTGTCCGTTATGCTTTTGTTTGTTCTTCTGTATGTAACATGCCTTTTTATCCTCTTAATGTCATTAAGAATTCTGTCTTTGTACTTGGATTTGACCAGCTCGATTATGCTGTGTTCTGGTGGGACCTCCTCTTGATTCTTGATTGTGTGGTTTGTTGTGCTCTTAGATCTATGAGTTCATAGTTTCCATTAACTATGGAAAACTTGTCACGATTTCTTCAGGTTTTTTTTCTTCTGTCTTTTTGCCTTCTTTAAGAACTCCAGTTCCATGTATATTGTAGTAGGTCTCTGAAGCTGTCTCCAGGTAACTACTGCTCTGTTCGTGACTTACTCTTTTCTACTTTATTTGGATTGTTTGAATTGGTATATTTTGAGATTCACTAGACTTTTTATTTCCTAAGATACTGTTAATATCACCAAACTAATTTCAGTCTTAGATATTATAGTTTCCTTTCTAGAAGTTTGATTTGTATATTTCTTATATCTATCTAGTTACCTTTTGAACATATGAAATACAGCTGTAATAAATGTTTTCATTTTTTCCTAATTCTAGCATGAGTCCTGGGATGCCTTTTGAGCAATTTGTGTATCAAAAAATACACAAATTGCTCAAAAAATACAGCCCTCCCAAGAGCTGGGATTACAGGCTGTATTTTTTGTTCTTCTGTTTGTTATCTTTGAACTCCCATCTGAGTCCTTGGCTAGTGGGAGAGAAGGCCCTTGCACCTTTGCAGGGCTGCTCTGGTCCTGGTCATTCGCTTGTGGCCCAGTTGTCCTCCCTCACTCTTAGCTCTTCCTTCTCTTCGAGAGCTCTCAGCTCTCCACTGAGGTCTGGCAGCTTGCTTGTTTATTTGCTTGCTTGCTTTTTTTCTTTTTTGGTGGAACCGGAGATTGAACTCAGACCCTTGTGCTTGCCAGGCAAGTGTTTATTCTACTGAGCCATCTTCCCGGCCCCCATTGCTTGCTTGCTTACTTGCTTGGTCTTGTCTGTCTGTTGATCTGTCTGTCTGTCTGTCTGTCTGTCTGTCTGTCTGTCTAATACTGCAAGGGCAAGTAAATACAGGTAATTATTGTACCGTTTTTCACAGCTTACGTGTATATAACAAACATTTGTAAATATATTTTTAAAAAGTGTTTTTAACTTTTTCTGCAGTTTTAGTGAGCTTTTGCTGAATGTAGTTTCTTATGAAAGTACTGAGAATGTTTTTAATCCTTGAAAGATTGTCACTGAGCCTAATATATACTTTATGAAGTAGCAGAATGCAGGCTGTAGTGTGTTTTGGAGCTAACCTAATATGTCCATCTATGGAAATAGACCAAACTGGGATCTTAAAAACAGATTTTCTTTTTCCATTTTTAGGTGTGCCTTCAGATGCTGATTCTTCTGCTGCCAGTAATAAAATAAGTGGTGCAAATAATTCTAAGCCAAATCGCCCTTCTCTTGCAAAGATCCTGCTGTCATTGGATGGTAGCCTAGCCAAACAGCAGGCCTTATCACATATTCTTACAGCCCTACAAATCATGTATGCCAGGTAGGCTGTGTTAATTTTACTTTTTTTTTTTTTTTTTGTATTTTAGGGCAGGGTCTACAGGGTGTTCAGGGTCTCACTACTAGTTAGGACTCGTAGTGATCCGCCTGTTTACAGCCCTCCCAAGAGCTGGGATTATAGGCCCATGCCACCATGCCCAGTCTCTGTTGCCCTCTCAGCACGCTCTAGGGACGGGGCAGGCACGGCAGGCCCAGGGATCCAGGGATCGAATCAGGCCCCTATGCCTGCTTTTAGGCGCTTTAATCCGCTGAACTATTTGGCCGGCTGTAGGCTGTGTTGTTTCAGATCCTACAATCTATGTAAACTTTGTGCTTTTGTAACACTTTGGTGAATTGCATGTTTCAAACTGTGTTGTTTTGCTATTTTTAAGTGCTGTGAGTTGCAAATCAACTACCCTTCGATGGTAATCTGTGCTCTTTGTGTTGCTTCCCCCCCCCTCCTCTTTTTCTGTTTGAGATAGGGTCTCCTATGCAGTGCAGGCTGGTCTTGAGCTCACTTTGTAGCCCAAGCTGCTCTCAAACTCACAGTGATCCTCCTGCCACAGCCTCCCAAGTGCTGGGATTACAGGCATGCACTACCACACCCACCTTATTTTGTACTTGTGTCAATGGATGTTGAAATATGAATCAGAAAACCAAGCTGAGGAACATTCTTATTTTTCTTTTGGTTAGTAAACTGTTAATATTTGAGTACAGGGCTGGTGAGATGGCTCAGTGGTCTAAAGCACCTACTTAGAACAAGCTTAGCAAAGCACAGGGACCGCGGTTCAATCCCCCAGCACCATATGCCAGCCGGCCCCGCCCCCTGGTGGGCTGAGCTGGCCACACACACACACACACACACACACACACACACACACAAATAAATTAAAAAAAAAAATAGTACAGGGCTGGTGAGATGGCTCAGTGGTCTAAAGCACCTACTTAGAACAAGCTTAGCAAAGCACAGGGACCGTGGTTCAATCCCCCAGCACCACATGCCAGCCAGCCCGCCCCCTGGTGGGCTGAGCTGGTCTCACACACACACACACACACACACACACACACACACACACTAAATAAATAAATAAATAAATATTAAAAAAATATTTGAGTACAGAGAGGAAGAATTCATTGATGCTAATTTACAGTGATGTTTATGATGACTTACTCACTGGATAAGGCAGTGTTATGATACTGTTTTTGTAAAATTTTGCTGTCATTTTTGGTCAGACTGTATTAATCAGCTTTGCATGACTGTAACAAAATACTTACCTAGCTAGCTCCTAGAGAGGGAGGATTGGTTTAGGTTCCGGTGCACGATTGCTGTGGGCGTGTGCTGAGGCACGCGTGCCACGTGGGGTGGAGCACATGGCAGAGCACGGCTGCTCATCTCATGCCAGGGATGGAAAAGAGACAGAAGAAAGGCGCAGGCTCCCAGTACAAACAGGCCTCTCAGGCAGGAGTCTCCCTTCACAGGGGTGCCACACGTGGGGGCCAGCCAGATAGCTCAGTGGAGTAAAGCTCCTGCTTAGGCAGACGCAGGGGCCAGGGGTTCAGTTCCCGGCCTGTGTGCTGGCCCCGCCCCTGGAGTGTGCTGAGACGGTGGTGATTGAGACTGGGCATGGTGCCGCGCGCCTGTAATCCCAGTGCTGAGAGAGAGAGGCTGAAAAACAGGAAGGATCACTAAAAGTCCAATCTGTGTAGCGAGACCCTGTAGAAAACATATTAAATACATTATTTAATGTATTTGTAGTAAATACAAAATACCTGTACTACATACATTTAAAAAAAAAGAGTACACACGTAGACTCAGCCTTGTGACCATCACACAGCCTCAGTGAGCTGCTGTCAACAGTGTGTTGTTGGTATGAACTTGACAGTTGTGCTCACATAGGACGTTAGTCTCAGGAGTGCTCAAGTCAGTCATTGAGAAGATAGTTAGTCCTGCTTTTAGTAAACAGAGTCACTTGATATTTAATTCTAATAGCAGCCCTTGAGGGTTTCTTAGGATGAACCATAGGCTCGTTCTGGTCTGGTTCATTGCCATGCAATTTCACCTGGTATTCCCAGGATTGCTGAAGTATAGCCAGGCATTGCCAGCAATAGTGATACCTTCTTGGAGGTGTGTTCTGTTCATATCAGTGTAGTTACATGAGTTAAGTAGTATAATTGTACAAGGTAAGCTGCCTGTGAAGTTACTCGGCAGTATAGTCCTGTGAGATCACTGTCACTAGCAATCTGTTGTTGAGCAAAATGTCATTATGTGGTGCATGACTTGAAGTAAGATCTGGAGCTTATAGCCAGTGGACTCTTGACAGTGATACCCAATTGTGCAAAGCTCTTCTTACCAGGTGTTTTTTTAAAATGGGGGCATGCATCCATGAGTGTTCATCCCGTCTTGCTGCCTTTTGTCATGCTGTGGTGAAGGGACAGCTCCCTATGGCCTGGCTTTCTGTTCCCACAGAGATGCAGTGGTTGGGGCCCTGATGCCTGCGGCCATGATCGCCCCAGTGGAGTGCACTTCCTTTTCCTCGTCAGCGCCACCTTCTGATGCATCTGCCATGGCCAGTCCCATGAATGCAGAGGACTGCATACTGGCTGTTGATCTCGAAGACAGACTGAGTCCCGGTCCATGGCAAGAGAAGCGAGAGGTAAGAAGGAGTCCTAAAGCAGTGTGTATTAAATCACAAGGGAGAAGGTAGCTATTTTATGTCTAGGAAAGGTCAGTCATTTTGTCATTTAAGTTAGGCTGTTTTTGCACACCCATTTCTTAGATTTTGGGCTTGAGTGACAAAAATATACTAGTAAAAAGAGCTTTTCTAGTATTGAAATACAAATAGGCTTATTCTTTTAAAAATCATTAGATGCCGTTTTGAAACCTCAGAGGTCTAAAAAGTCAGAAATGTTGTTAACTTGTTTTGGGGAAAAACCCAATGTCAAGAGATACAAGCTTATTTTAATCTGATCCAGGTGAGCTACTATGAGTATTAATAGTTTTCCTGGAAATACGAATGGCTTTAGTTCTGCAGGGCTGCTCCAGAGTGGACATACTGTATGTGCACTGCGTGGTCTGAAAATCTGGAGCATTTCAGACAGCCCCAAGTAGATGAGGTAGAAGCATCTTGAACTACGTAGGCACTGTCATATTGTTGAGTTTTTCCACTCTTCTGATGTCCTCTCCGTTAGATCGTCTCCTCTGAAGATGCTGTGACCCCTTCTGCAGTGACACCATCTGCCCCCTCAGCTTCCTCTCGGCCCTTTATCCCTGTGACAGATGATCCCGGAGCTGCCAGCATCATTGCAGAAACCATGACTAAAACCAAAGAGGTCAGGAGGTGCTCTCCTTTAACTTTTCAATGTGAAATCATAAATGTACACGGAGGTCACAGGAATTGTGTTAGAGATAGAACATGGGTGCTTGAGTGACTGTTCAGCTGGGCTCTCTAGTAACTGGCATTTCTAAACAGTCTGGGAACACTAGGACACAAGCCTGTGTGTACTGGAATATGAGCATGTCTCAGGGATCCTGCCTTTCCTCCTTGTCCTTAGACCTATTCAGGTGCTGCTCACAGTCCTAACGGTACTTTTAAATACTGAACAGTTTTGACAAAACCTCCACATGAGTGATGCAAAGTTCTGCTTTGTGCCTTTGCTGCATTTCTGGTTGTGTGATTCTTATCTCTTGTTAAAAGTACTTGCTTTCTGCACTCAAAGTTAGTGTGTACTATGTATGTAAGGACAGTGAGCTGCTGACTTATGAACAAGTTCCATTCGAGGGGAATGTTCCTAAGTCACTCAGTTGTAAGTCTAACATAGTTTTATATATGTTTGATACAAACATACAATGTAAAGCATAAAAGCACCAAATGCAAGACCTGTTCATATGTGTGGAAGTTCACAACTCAAATGTTTTTAAGTTGGGGAAGTTACTACGCTAAGGAGGAGATACTGTGAGATCATACAAATGTCTTACTCTGCTTCATTCTTTTCACTCACCAGTGTTGAGAATCTAATAATGATTTTAGCCTAATTCAGTCATTTTTCATTTACCATCATTTCTTATGAAGTATAATTGTAAGGGAGATCCTTTCTTAACTGTGTATCTTCTACCTACCTACATATTATATTGATATAGACTCACTAATTTGTATTTTATTCAAATAGTGGCATTTGCTGTTATCATTTGACACCCAAATTAGCCCACAGTTGGCCCTTACATTTCCTCTGGACTGATTCCTTAGTCTTTCGGAGATTACCTCAGAGTTCTTGGAGCATTTCTTTATTTTCTGGCATAATGGTATATTCTACTCATCTAACCTGCCCTGCCCTCGTCTGGAGTCAGCAGTTTCTCCAAGGAACTCTAGTTCCATTTAGTGGTGTGCAAAATTTGCAAACAAAATTAGGTACTTGGTACTCTGATTGCTACCCAGTTAGCTCTGCTCAGCAGACAGATATACACTTATGTAAGCATTTATTTCTCTTTCTGTATCTTGCCTATGTAATAAAAATCACGGAGAGTTCAAATTAATACATTCACTCCACGCCAACAAGGACTAGTGATCTGTAGTTTTCTTATGATGTCGTTATCTGATTTGGTTTGGGTATTAGAATTATACCAGCTTGGGCTGGTGAGATGGCTCAGTGGTCTAAAGCACCTACTTAGAACAAGCTTAGCAAAGCACAGGGACCGCGGTTCAATCCTCCAGCACCACGTGCC